TTTTTTTTTTTTTTTTTTTTTTTTTTTTTTTTTTTTTTTTTTTTTTTTTCTCTCAAGTTTGATACGATAAGGTTGAGTAATCGACAATCGAGCAGAATAAAAAATAACAGAAACCTGGAGATAAAGGGCAGAGTCCCTATCTCAATGCGAACGCCCCTTTGCTCTCACTACACGATTAATTTTCAAATGGCTGCAATGACGAATGAGTTGACGAGGAGAAAAATCACTCTAATATTAAAATTCAAGTATGAACTGGCAGTAAATAAATGTTTAAGACTGTGTGAATTTTTTTTGTAAATTCTGAAAAAGTATATGCACCAACTAAATTGATAATTGTAATTTGAAAAAATCGTGCATTGTATTCAAAAGGTTTATTGTGTATTTTCTTTTTTTTAATAAAGCCATGCCAATTAATCACTAGAAACATTGAAATCGATGATTTTTGTTCTTTCCACGCTTATTAAAGTAGCTAACAGAACAATGATGAAATCATTTAGAATCTTTAAGAATATCCTTGTAAAGTTTGAAATCATATGAGCTCTCCCGATATAAGAGTGAATAGTTCCTCAAACAAGGGCATAATGTATAAAACGCGAGGGTGCATCAGCGCTGATGGGGAAGTCGCAAGCGTTTGTTCAAGGATTACGACTTTATTAATACTTCAAAATGATCAACCGAAATTCGCAATAAGGAATGCATAAAAAACGCTTTTTAATTATTTTTCGATTCAAAAGTTTGTTTGCAAAAACCACATCAGCTTTTTTTGTGATATTGTCCATTATTAAAAAGTTTCTTAAATCTTGTAAAAGAGCATTTAGCTGAACCGTTACCTATAACGAGTTTATAAAAATTATTTAATATATAAATCCATAAGCGTACGTGTGTGCGAAATGCATGTTCTACGAACATCGCTGACTAAACATTTACATTAATTATTGTTAATTATTGTTAAAAATAGATCATCATTGTTTAAAAAAGACCAGAATATTTCTACCAGAACAGTATTGCAGAATAGTTTTCAAAAATGTATCAAAAAATCGAAAAAAAATTTTTTCATCAAAAAAAAAAGATTTTTTTCGCTTCGGATTCATAAAAAAGTTGAAACTTATAGTAAAGTGTTAAATAACTGAGTAAAATAGAGCTAGTAGTACTTGAGTCATTCAAATATAAGCGCCAGAATAGGAGAGGACCGAGCCGCTAGCCGCCGACGTCCACCGCTACGCTTCGCCCGCAGCGATTTTTCATCGCTCGCAAGTGTTATGCAAGAACCAGCTGTATAAAGTCGACGCAAAACGTTTTTTAGCATCGCTCCTCGGCCACTAGTTGAGGTTGAAGGGTGATCATTCTCTTCACTTCATCCCTCCCTAATTCAGAGTGATATCGCTGGAAACATATTGTACCACGATAACACGCATACAACTCTAAATATCCAACCAAGTCCATCTTTCTTGACTACGGTGGGATATATCTTAATATCAATCCAAGTACTCATCATATCTCCCGCTAATGCCTTAAAGAAATCGGCATCATTAAAATTTCCTAACATGGTTACTCATGGTCCTAACATCGCTTCTCAGCCTTTCTTTCGTTCAGCACTCAGAGGTGGTAGCTTTCTGTATCCGTGGGATCTCTGGGACTCCGTATCTGTTCTAGAGCCATTGAACCCGTGTACTTTAAACCTTCTACAGTAAAGCTTGTGGACTTTTCAGGATCACATTCTGGTCGAATTACTGTCTGTCTTGTAAAATAGCAACGTAGGCCTAGCGATAAATAAAAATAACTTGATAAATAATAACAAGTGACAAACTGAACACAACCTAATAACAGGGTTCATCTATATAGTATACCAAAGCAAGAACAAGTGTCAAGTGCTGTGATTTAAATTTAAGCAAGAAAAGCGCAATTAGTGTAAACGTTATGTCTAATATTTTAATATCTTTACATCATAATATTATAATATATGTATTTTATTTATTTATACTTATTATATTTTACTACACCATAACGGAAGAAAAAAAAAAAACTTTTATTTATTTGAATCAAAAGTGATAATAATAACAAGAAAGCAAAAGACTGACAGAATATATGTGATAATATAATCAATATATACATGTACAAAGCTTACACTTACACACTGACACAACATACAATAACAATTGTACCTGTCCATGACAGGAAGTCTTAAATTAAATATACGTCTGATATGTTCTTATCAGCTTGATATCTGATACGTCCGCCATTGGGGGACCAGAATATCGAACTGATTTTTGAAAACAGGTGGGACGTCTGGGGCTTGCTCCGGTCCTGCCACGGGTCGGCCATGCATTGCAGTACCGCAAGGATCGGCCCACACAATCTAATTAAACATAAACACCTCTTCCCTTGAGTACAATGTACTCATAAGCACCCTTAACAAGCAGTGGAAACTCTAACATGGAGTGCCACAAGCGTAACCTGCGAACCTCGTTATAATACATCAAAGGCCTACTGCAGTCGGCTCGATGGTACTAACCTACTACGGCACCATCAGAATTTACATTGTTTTAAATTGTTAGTAGATTTTTCCAAAGACTCCAGGAGATGAGGTATGTAATGATTATCCTAGGCACCAGGTGCTTTGAGAACGTTTGCTGTCGCGATATTTATGCTCAGCAACCCTATAAACCCCCGAATAATGAGTATGGAGAGATTATAAAATGAATTTCTTAATAACTCCAGGAGATGATGATGATGTCGTTCACCCTGGGCACTAGGTGCTTCAGGGACAAATTTCATCTCAAATTATGAATTCAGAAACCCCGAAAACTTGTCAGAAACAAGTTTCACCGATTATAGAACGAATATCCTAAAAACTCTAGGAGACGACGTTAGTACCGGTCACCCTGGGCACCAGGTCCCTCGAGGACGACTTCTGTTGTGATATTTGTGTTCAGTGACCCCAAAAACTTTTCACATCATTGAGTTTGGACCAATTATACAACAAATTTACTGAAAATTTCAGGAGACGACGATGATACATTTTACCCTGGGCACCAGGTACCTTTGGACCAATTATTTATTAAACGAATTCCTTTAAAACTCCAGGAGACGAGATTTCCAACGCTAACATCCGTGTTTTACCATTTTTGCCATTTTTTGAGGCATTCGAGAAAAATATTTTTGTTCGATGTTATTACAATCGATTGGCTTTGTTAAATTCTTTAGAATAAATTTTCTTCGTGATAGTCTGAATTTCGATTGCCGAAAACTTAATTCGATTCCACTTTACCGTGTCTTTTGTAAGGCATTTAAATAAGAAGCTTAAAAAATTAAAAAAATTCTATTTTGCTGTGAATGAAAATAGTGACCCTAACAGTTTTTGAAAACTAATACATTAATTATTTTTACTTTTGAACTCTTGCACTTCAAGAATTCATTTTCTGCCATCAATAGAGAATTGACCTTTTTAGTAGATAAAAACCTCTTAAATTTGTGAAAGTTACCATCTAATTTGATTTTTTATTATAATTTGTTTGCATAGAATAACAACATTTTTAGACGAGTGGTTCTTTTCTGAAATGATTATGAACAGATTAACATAAAACCTTGATGTATCATTTCTTAAGTTACACTACGTTACACTATCCCTCAAAATTTTAGAGTAGGCTGACGAATATAAACGCAAGAAAATTATCAATCAAAATTGAAATCCAAACATGTGCTTTTATGGCAACTAAGCATTCCTTTACTGAAAGTTGTAGTTTAGTTATTTATTTAGTGAACACAATTAAGGAAAAAAAGACTTACGCAATACGTAACATACTGTTCTCTTGAAATATATACATGTTTACGGACTTAATCAAAAGATATTAAAACAAACACAGCCATTCATTTTTGTTCCTTATGTTGAGAGCACAGTAAAGCATCAACTGCAGATATTTTGAGATTAAAAATAAATTTTACGTAATTATTTCTATGAACTTTTATATCAGACTTAATTGTATACCAGTACTTAATTTGCCTCAATAAATAATACTTACAAATAATTGTTTGTAATTTAAGCAGTGTTAATAAATATCATCTTGGTAATAGCACCTTTGACTCATGAGTCATGAAAGAATTACTTTTACGGTTTACTGTGCAACGAGTAAAATTTAAACAAGTCTAAAAAGTATAATTCATCAAATAATAAAACCAATGGCTATTGCTGTTGTATATAATTTTTTATTATATCCCCTGACGACGTATGTAAAGTTTGATTTGATTGTTCATGTTAGATGTCAATCTCACCTAGTTTTAGTACGTATAAGTACATTTTTTTGTTTTTTTTTTCAAGTTTGAACAAAAAACAATAAGGTTGAGTAATCGAAAATCGAGCAGAATAAAAAATAACAGGAACCTGGAGATGTAGGACAGAGTCCCTATCTCAATCCAAACGACCCTTTGCTTTCACTACACGATTAATTTCAAAATCGCTGCAATGACGAATGAGTTGACGGGGAGAAAAAAACCGAACCCCGTGTCCCAATGTAAATAAACAAACGACACTTCCGTGTACCCGTCCCCTATTACGCATCTGTCACCACCTCCTTCTTCTGAACTGGCTGGCTTTTGAGTCAGCAGACCGCACGGTGATTTTTCTTGGCTCGACTCCCGAAACGGGAACGCCCGCTAAAGACCAGGGCGTAGCGTTCGAATTTCACCGGGACTTGCATACACGCGCGCTTCTTTCGGTGAAAAAATTCTGAAAAAGATCAAATTGCTATGCTAAGACTTTTCAGTCGATAAAATCACTTGGACACTCGAAAAAAAAAATAGTTTGGGATAATGAGTGAATGATTGGCACACATTTATATCCAATAAATCACTCTAAAATTAAAATTCAAGTATAAACTGGCAGTGAATAAATGTTTAAGACTGTGTGAATTTTGTTTTTAAATTCTGAAAAAGTATATGTACCAACCGAATTGATAATTGTAATTTGAAAAAATCGTGCATTGTATTCAAAAGGTTTATTGTGTTTTTCCTTTTTTTCAATAAAACCATGCCAATTAATCAATAGAAACATTGAAATCGATGATTTTCGTCTTTCCACGCTTACTACACAAATTTTATTAACATTTCGTAAATAGTACCTAAAATGAGCAAAATATATATATGTATTTTTTTTTAAATCATTTCTCTCTAAGGTAGCTGACAGAACAATGATAAAATCATTTAGAATCTTTAAAAAAATCCTTGTAATGTTTGAAATCATATGAGCTCCCCCGATGTAAGAGTAAATAGTTCCTCGAACAAGGGCATAATGTATAAAACGCGAGGGCACATCAGCGCTGATGGGGAAGTCGCAAGCGTTTGTTCAAGGATTACGCGGTAATGAGCACAACTTGCCATCAGGGGCAGGTGGGGGGGGGGGGCTGACTTGATAATAAAGTAGTTCGAACTTCGAATCGTCTCGGGCGAAGAAACGAACTTCCGTCCATATAAGCGCGTCTATAGATAAGTTAGCTCGCGAGAGTAGTTGGATAAGTCGACTTATGGGTGATGAATTTCGTGACAACGATATAATTTCGCGTGGGTATTCCGCAGACTTATGAAATTTTAACTTTGACAAATAACTTTGGATGATTTTCTAATTAGAATGAAATGCAAACAAATGTTTCGATTTCGGTGGTGCTCCCGCAAAGTGTACAGAGAGTCATTTTAGCTTCCTCACATGGCACCCCAACTGTCATAATTGCACCGAAAATAAGAAAAACGTCAGCGCATCCCACACTTTGTACAAGCAAGCTCATCCGTATGCACGAGTACAGTTTATATACAAGTACTCGAAATTGCGAGGCGAGAGCATCCCTCGACACGAGAAAATGATAGATAACGTGCGGGCGTAGCGATTTTATTGACAGAAGCTGTGCTACACCACCACCGCGATAACATTGGGAAAATTGTCAAGCATGAAACCAACATATACACATACTTACAAGTAGGGTGTATACACTGTGTAGTAGAGCAAGACGCGGGTGGGTAAACCTACATTCTCTTTTCGGTGTACCTGCACTTGAACGAACGGGAACGGCAAAGACGAGAGCATAGGAAAACAAATATCGAGATTGAAAAGCAATTTCGGAGACTATATGCTGTCTCTATGAGTTTATGTACCGGCCTCGTTGTGGTTTATGTACGTATGCCCCACGACTAGAGACCATTTTAAATTAATGGTTGTTTGGGGCGTAGACAAATTGGTTCCCAAATTGATAAAAAAAAGTCAAATTGGCTCCCACTGTTCATTGAATCATTAGGGCTTATGATCAAATTGGTTCCCGAATCATTGAAGCACATTGTCAAATTCGTTCCCATACATCTAAAATATACATTACATTAGAATATCGAGTAGTACAGCATCTTTGTTGAAGTTTCTTCAATATGAGCATAACGATGAAATTTTAAATCAACGCAACGTAAAGGAAAAATGAGCACCTATAATATTTAGAAAAACAACAGGTCATTGAACTTGAGAGCAGCCGATCACACTCAACTGTCGGTCGACAAAATATCAACAAATGTTTATACGAATAATTTTATCGCAAATAAGCTGTCTATCTATTTAGTCGTAATATATTGTGTGCAACAGTCGTATTTTTATCATAGTATTTTTTTTATTCGTTCTAATATTTGACAATGGAGTGTTTGTTGAGTAAAAGGGGTAAAACTCTGCCGTATGTTGATAACTATACTTTTAGATTTAAAAAGAAGTCTAAAAAGTAATCTTTAACGTTGGACGAGCACTACTAATAATCGTGAATTCTTTCATGCACATCGAAATGAAATGTTTTATGCACCGAATCCAAACATTTTTGAATTTGTAGAAGAGTTGAAATCTGTGCAATGTTAAGCATATATCAAGATGTGAAGTTAAAAACGTGAATGAAAAGAGTCTGTAGACAAAGAAAAATTTTTAAGAAACAATATGTTATTGTATCAAACAGGTTTCACAACTTGCTCTGAATTTATTAATTTAGTCTCAAGAATATTTTAACTAGTTTCTCAAACTTTGATTTTTTCAAACAGTGGTCTATATATTTTTTAAACATACTAGCATTTAAATGGCTGCCAGTCCAAAGCCTGGAAAAAGTGTGATGGGAGAAATATAGTATCAACACCTTTTGAGTTCTGTATGTAAGTGAATTTTTTTATAAAAAAGATAAAAATGTCATGGACGAGAAAAATGTTTCTTTATTGGACTACTACTCATAATTACACTTAGACTTGAGTAATGTCGCTTTTAGTATGAATTGTATTAGCATTCGTGTACACATGAAATTTTGAAAATAGAAAAAGAAAAAATTAAACCTTATACGTTGCTTAAAAATATGTTTG